TGTGGGATCCTCCCAGACCAGGGCTCGAACCCGTGTCCCCTGCATTAGCAGGCAGACTCTCAACCACTGCGCCACCAGGGAAGCCCTATTCCTAGGTATTTTTTATGCAATTGTAAATGGGACTGTTTTCTTAATTTCTCTTTCTGATAGTTCATTGTTAGCAACAAATTTCTGTGTATTAATTTTGTATCCTGAAACTTTATTAAATTCATTGAAGAGTTCTGGTAGTTTTTTGGGGGCATCTTTAGGATTTTCTATGTATAGTATCATGTCATCTGCAAACAGTGACAGTTTTACTTCTTCTTTTCTAATTCAGATTCCTTTTATTTCTTTTTCTTCTCTGATTGCTGTGGCTAGGGCTCCCAATACTATGCTAAATAAAAGTGGCAAGAGTGGATCTTCTTAGAGGAAATGCTTTCTGATCTTAGAGGAAATGCTTTCAGCTTTTTACCATTGATTAAGAAGTTAGCTGTGGGCTTGTCATATGTGGCCTTTATTATTTTTACCATAAATAGATGTTGAATCAATTGTCTTTTGTATTTTTTTCTCAGAATCACAGTTTGTGACTCAACCAACAAATACAGAGTGACACATAAGAGAGATTCAAAAGAGATGCTCAGTTTTTATTTGAGACTTTTTTTCTATTTCCCCAAATATTAATGTATCATTTTTCCAAAAAGTCCTGTAGAAGCAAAATATATTGCTGATATTATTTCCTCCAAAAATTTACTGTGTTCTGTTAAAAGCAAACTCCTAGAAAACAACTGAGGTCAGATGATTGATTTCTTAACCTCAAAAGTGTCTGACCCAAAGTTTATATTCAGAGACAGGTTTTAAGCAGAGATAGCAATATTCAACTTGATTAACCACATCATTGACTGAAATTATTTTTTATTAGTTGCTTAAAAATGTGTAGTATGTAGGGCTTCCCAGGTGGCGCAGTGGTTGAGAGTCCACCTGCCAATGCAGGGGACGTGGATTCGTGCCCTGGTCCGGGAAGATCCCACATGCCGTGGAGCAGCTGGGCCCGTGAGCCATGGCCGCTGAGCCTGGGCATCTGGAGCCTGTGCTTTGCAACGGGAGAGGCCACAACAGTGAGAGGCCCGTGCACCGCAAAAAAAAAAAAAAAAAAAAAAAATTGTAGTATGTGAACATAGGAAGCTTCAAAAGGTATAAGAGGATATACTGTCTAAATGTCCCTCCTGTGACCCCCTGCCAGTCTTCTCTCAAAGGCAATCACTGTTATAAGTTTCTTGTGATATATTTTCAAAATATTCACAGCCTATGCAAGCATATATGTGTGTATGTATATTTATGTATGTTTGTATATGTGTTTGCATATAAACATACATAGTAACATGATTAAAAAAATAATCTTATACAGCCCTGGAAAGTTGGGTGGTCTCACAGTCAGATCCCCAGCTGTGGCAGGTGGAGCATCTTTTCCCGAGGCCCAGGGATGGCTCCAATCGTAGTGAGCTTGAGTGCTGGCTTTGTGGAGTACGCATTCCCAAACAGTTTTACTGCAGCTCACTGAGGCTGCAGCCTATTCTCACTTCCCTATGGAAGAACAACTCAGTGATAGTAAAGATCTGGAAAGGAGTGAAATAACGGCAATGGTACCCAATTTTAGTAGCCCCTTGTAACTCAGTGATTACCAGTAAAGCAGTCTTTATGGTAGGGGAACTAGTAAGTCCGTGGACTTCTGGGACATTCCCAAGTCAGAACGGAAGAAAGGTGGGGTAGTTTTGGATCCATTCTCTGCCTGCTGCGAGGATCATCCTAAACCACATGAGCCATGGCTCACGCTTGGAGAGCTGTCATCTGCAATAAGGAGGCTGGAGCAGTGACTTGATGTCCTCTAGCTCCACAGAGGTGAATGTTGTGAGGGGGTTTGTGACAGTGGGATGAGACTGGATGACTCTAAGGAGAGATGGAGGGGACCATTTGTAAGTAGGCACCGGTGTTGGTTACTCTTTGGTTCTGCCACTTGGGGGATCTGAAGGCCTCCCTCTACTCCAGGAATCCCCCACTACCACCAGGATGCTTTCAGCCCAGAGACCATTTTTTTTTCACATCAAGGAGTTTGTTCGTTCATGCATTCATTCATTCATTCATTCACTCATTCATTCATCTGCCTGTCCATCCATCCATTGATTCATTTAATAAGATTTATAGAGGATCCTCTAGGCCAAGCACTGTGCAGATGCTAGGGATTCAGATGTGAGCCACACACACAGCCCGGCTGTCACTACTCTGACTGGGACTTTTTTTTTTTTTTTTTTTTTTTTTTTTTTTTTTTTTTTTTTTTTTTTTGCGGTACGCGGGCCTCTCACTGTTGTGGCCTCTCCCGTTGTGGAGCACAGGCTCCGGACGCGCAGGCTCAGCGGCCATGGCTCACGGGCCTAGCCGCTCCATGAACCCGCGTCCCCTGCATCGGCAGGCAGACTCTCAACCACTGCGCCACCAGGGAAGTTCTGACTGGGACTATTAATGAAGGGATAGACAAGTCATAGGTGATTGGAGGATGGTGTGAGAAGTGCTGTGATGGCAGAGATACTGAGGGCACAGAAGACAGTGGGCCATAATCCTACTTGGGGTGGCCATGGCAGGGCTACCAGAGGGTATAGCCTAGTCTGGGGAGGATTCCAGCAGAGGGGACCAGAAGAGGCTCAGTGGTGAGAGAGAGCTGGCCTGTTAGGAGGAGTGAATGGCAGGCCAATATACTGCCCACAGTGTCAAGTGTAAGAGGCAGCTCAGAGCAGTGCAAGGAGAGAGCATGTAGGTCCTGGCAGGCCAGGGAAGGGTATGGACTTGACCTTGGGAAGTGGGGAGCCATTGAGGATTCATGAGGAAAGACTACTGTTTTTGTGTTCCAAAAGCCAAGGTGATAGCCAGTAGCTCTGCACTATTTTTGCCATCTTTGGGCCTCACAGCAGAGCAGGCCATAGCTAGGGGTAAGTAGGCACCAGTGTTGGTTACTCTCTGGTTCTGCCACTTGGGGGATCTGAAGGCCTCCCTCCACTCCAGGAATCCCCCACTACCACAACCACCACCAGGATGCTTGCAGCCCCAGAGACCATTCTTTTTTCACATCAAGGAGTTCGTTCGTTCATGCATTCATGAACTCTGGCTGCCTGAAGTGGCCCACGGCTCCTGCACAGCCCAGTGCTATGGGAGAGGAGGGTCACATTCCAAGCTGCGTCCTGCCTGGCTTGCCTCGCCTTGCAGAGCCAAACCCCGGTGCACACGGGAGCCTCTCTGTGCACCCAGCATGGAATTTTCCTCTCAGAGGCTGACCCAGTTCCTTGCTGCTATTCAGTCACCCTGGCTGAGCCTGTGGAATTCCATAAAGGTTAGACATTAGAGAGGAGTCCTAATGTTACAAGGAGCCTTCCTGCCCCCTACCTGACTTGCTCCAGGGCTAGGCTGGGCCACTTGCTCACCTCTGGGGATCTTAAGCTCCCTTCCCTGGGGCCAAGGCTCCCTCACCCCCCAAGGTACACTGAGGCCCTTCTCTCTCCTTCCTGACAAAGCTGCATGTCCCAGGCTGCCACGAGTGCCATGGTGCAGGCGCCTCTTCTGAAGGGATGTCTGTCACCTGATGTCCTGGCCCATGACAGTGGCTTGCACCTACCCTGACATCACAGTGTCCAACAACTAAGAAAATTGGGGACATGTAAGGGATTTCTACCTTCTGAAAATTATAGTACCAGTTCTAGTCCGTAAACAGTAAATTATACAGGCATCAATAAACAAGTTTACATCTTACACCTGACAGTTCTCAGGTCATTCACACTTGGGTAGTGATTTGCATTCAGACACGTGATCTCTTCCCAGAGAAGACATTTAATGACAGCTCCTCCCCATTCCACCCCTCACCAAGGCCTTTATTTATTCTCATCATGTTCTAGGTTATACTGTAGTTACTCCTGAATGGGGCTTATCTTCCCTAGTAGGTTATCAACTTCCCAAGGGCTGGAACCACATCACAGAGATCAGTGTCTACCCAGCATCAGGCAGGAAGATTCAGGGTGGAAGGAAAGCATCTTACCATATTCCCTAGGGGTGAAGACAAATACAGTCTTCTTGTGTTAAAGGCCGGGTTTAGGCCACTGGTACTAATACTCTTCAGCGCTCATACTAATGACCAAAGTGGAGTGCTTACTCTGTATGAAGTGGTGACTACTGATAATAAGGATGGCGGTGTGATTGTCAACAGTTAGGGAGTGCTTTACCACAGGCACTGTGAAAATGCCTTTAAAAGCAACGTCTCATCTATTCTCTCAAAAACTGTAGGAGGTCAATGGTATTATTACCCCCACTTGACAGTTGGGAAAATTGACTTCTAGGGACTTTGCTATTTTCCCAAGTAACACAGCTACTAACTGGCAAACTGTACCTGGACTCCAGGTGTGCCATCTTGAGCAGGGCCTGAGTTCCCCCTGCCCTGCCCCTTTGGGGACGTCCTGTGAAGCACCTGTCACACTTGTTGGTCATGGCCGGGTGCTCTACCACTGCAAAGCGTGTGGAACTCTGACTTGCAGAGTCCCGAGAACCCACCATGTGTGCGCATGCTCACGAGAGAGCGCAACAATTAAGCAGAGTGTACGTGGTGTTCGCGGGACTCACCTGTTGGCGCATAGTATGTAGCGCATGCGTACCGGGCCTGCGAAGGAGCGCGCCTTCAGAAGTGACGTAGCTGAGGGCGGGGGCGTGGCTGGAGTGTGTGTGTGTGTGCTGGGGGGGG